AATGTACCTTAGTAATTTGACATTGTTTGAATTCTTCAATTGATCATGTGTAATTTAGATATTTAGTAACTAGTTAATTGAAGTCATCAGACAATTGATAATTTGACATATGATGGTATGAATTGATTGTACACTTGAAATGTAATTTGAGATTGATGTGTAATAACTCAATTTGATATGTAATTACACAATTTGATATGTAGTTAATTGATGATTTTGTTACTGTGTGAGTTCATCATTTGTAATTGAATATGTAGTGATGAGAATTTTTAAAGATTGATCATTTGACCTCTTAATTGATTTGGTTTCTAGTCATTAGTAACTGTGAGATGTGAGTAAATTTCAATTTGATGACTAGTAGACTTTGATTGATTGCACCATGGTATGTTTTTAGTTTTGATAGTTGATTACCAATCCATTTGTTAGATGTCTTTAGTGATTTTAATTATCTAGTTGTCTGATGACTAATGATTTCTAATTGTTTGATGACTAATTTGTTATTTCAATTCTTTGAAAATTGTTGATTGATTGATTGATTGATGTCTTATTTGATTAAGAAGTTGAGAAGAGTATGAGCTGTTGATTAGTAATCTAGTTAATTAATAATCTCATCAATCTTAATTTGAATGTTTAACTCCTTTCTAATGATCAATTCTTTCATTTGACTAATTTAATTAAGTTTCATTTAATATCTCAAAATCTTCCATTAAACACTTTTGAATTCTAAATTTCATTGCACCACTCATTTCCTTTGTATGTTCTTGTTTTTCAATTCGATTCCAACCTTCCTTTTCATAATCCTTTCAACTAAACACTTCAGTAAGTACCTTTTATCCTCCTCTTTATAATTCTCCTGTTTGTTTTGCTAATTTGATTTTCAATTTGTCTTAATTTTTAGATTTCTTTTTTGCTTTTCTTGATAACTCTAAACCTTCTTTAATTTCTACTCTGACTTTTATATTAATTGCTATTCCATTTCATTTCATTTAATTTAATTTTAATTGTAATTTCATTCAATTTGATTCCCGATTCTTTTGATGTATAAACTACTAAACTTGTAACTGTAATTTGTTGTTTTGATTTGATTTGATTTGCAACTTGCTGCATTGATTAATAATTAATTTAACAAAACTTTGAGCCTTGATTTTGAGCACAGACTTCAATAATATAATGTAATAACTTCTTTCCAATTAAACCTTTGCAGATTGAGATTTGCTCACCACACCGCAGGTCCGTGCGCTATCCCTTGGGATTTAAGGAAATCGATCGAATTTTCCTCAGAGAAAAATTCATCAAATTCAAAGATTTCAAGTTTTTTCAAAATACTCCTGGTGGTGTTATCGTTTGCTGGGATGCGGCAGTGCTCAAGGTATTTTTCGAACGCCGGATAGGGGCGTGGAGCTGGTGATATCGATTGGGATCGTGCAGGAACAATTGAAGGCGAAGTGAGGGAGTCTGCTGGGATCCCGATTGGCTTGCCTGACTTCAGTACCCACTCAAATCCTGGTAGTCCCACAGGTGGTCGGAACAGGGTCACATTGGATTTGCCAGCAGCCTGATCACAAGAAATCAGAGCATAACCATTATTATTAGTCAAGCATAGATGGGAGTTATTTCAAAAGACTTACAATCAACTCGGCCCAAACATCCAACATTGGGTACGTGAGTTTCATCATGTACTTTGGTCTTTCCGAATCGTAGCAGGTCATCCCCTCGCGATGGCCCGCATGACCGCTATTTCCATAGCGGGTCTGGAGCGCCGTGCGTATCTCGGTTATATCAGCCTGTAGATTAATCAAATTCAAGGCAAGCTCGCGAGCCCTGTCTGGATTGGCTCCTGGATTATCTGCGAGCATGAGACGATCAAAAGAATCCGCCTGAAATGCAACAGGGGCATGAGTGTGGTGGATGACATGAAGAGCGGACCCAGCAAGAGATGACCACTCACATTTTGTACTGCACGATTCTTCCGTGGCTTGGCATTCTCGTCAACCATTGTAGCAGTAACTCCCATTGGTTTCCCTCTACTTTCAGAAACCACCACTTTGAAGCGCTCAAAGTCAACATCCTTGCTGATGTTTTGTTGACAACCCTTGGGAAAGCTCGAGTTATTAGAAACCCAGCCAAAGTAATCAATGGTGCCCTTCATATCAGCCTCTTTAAACAAAACTCTACAGCCCAGATGAAATCCTTTGGCCAAGTCAGCGACTGTGTCTTTGAACTCCTGAAGGGTCAAATTGGCTAGGTCAATTCTGACCGAAGTCGGACCAGTTTGTTGGCAGGCTGAAGTGGGCCGAACTCCCCTGTGTTGATCTGCTATGCTGATGTAATGGGATTTGAATGCTGTCATCTTGAATTCAAACAAAGTCCCGGCTCGTGTGGTTCCTGAACACAACGGTCTATTAGGTGAGGCACTTTGTCGCATAGCCATTAAAGACGACGCCGGTCGTCCACGAGCCCTAAAGCAAGGCCCGCACGTGATCAGTTTATGTGACACCCCCGAGGAAGACTAAAGAACTGCAGGAGACTAGAGGAGACTGCAGGTGTGCTTACTGCATGGCTAGTTGAACCGAGGAGGGCATGCTTCAGGTGTACAGCTGTTGAATTGTACAGTTGCTGAAGTGGACAGCGGTTGAACAGGGTTGAACAGTTGCTGCTCAGTGTTGGTTGCTCAAAGCGGAAGGTGGCTGAAACTGTGAAAATTTTTTATCACAGGCGTATGGGTTTTGGGATAATCCATTGTATAATCTTTGAGATTTTACACCCAAATTCAAGGTTTTATCTGGTAAAAGACTTAGGTTTTGAGTTTGCTAACTTTATTTTTTCAAAAGATTGCGACAAGCAAATCCGGAATGGCTGTATCGCACTACCTAAATATGTGTGTCTACTGTACGATATTTATCGTTTACAACTGCCTTTACTTTTCTAACTGTTCTGGACTACTGAGCCTTCACAATCAGTTCTCTTTGAAGAAAACACGCTCCCAAAACAAAAACAAGAAAAACAGGAAATGGCATAACGATAGAAAAGGAAATTTGGCATATAAAATCTAACTAATTCTTCTATTATGATTCTAAGTACGTTTTGAGGTAGATCTCTTGTATAAATTGTGCTAATACCGAAACACCTTTGCTGTTTCTAATAATCTATTTTCTGAGTTAATATCGACTTTTATTTTCTCTTTTTTGATTTGTTTCCTGAAAGCTTGACGTTGTTTTGTGTATTTTTTGCAATATATTAAAAAGTGTGCTGTTGTTTCTGTTGCGAAGCAAGTTTCGCATTTATCGGTGTCTTCTACCCCAATTCGATGTAAAAACTTCTTCAAAGGGCAATGTCCACATCTCAGTTGGAAGATTGCTGCCGCATGTCCTTTTTCCAATTTCTCCCATTTCCCTTTGGTTTTGTATGTTTGAATAGAAACAGCTCCCCTGGTATTAAATAATCTCCGGCAGTGTCGTAATAAACAACCTAGGCTCATGGGGAGTAACATTGGTGGTGTGTCTCCTTCCGCTGCCGCTCTTGCAGCTTGGTCAGCTCGTTCATTGAGTTCGATCCCCTCATGTCCCGGGGTCCAATATAGTCGAAGTTCAAAGTGTTCGGGGATCACTTTATACGATCTCAGTAGAAACCTTGTTAGGTATTGTAGCGTTTTTGGTTGCATCGGTTTTGCCAGCAGGTCAAGTGCGGCTTGGCTGTCACTAAAAATTGCAAAAGCGGAAAATTTGCCAGGATTCGCGTCAGTAATCTGTTTGAATTGCACAAGCGCTATCATCAATGCCATCATTTCCATCTCGTAGTTTGAAATGCCCTCGACTGGTCCATATGCATGACTTGCTGTTAAGGTATTGGTTGCAATTGCGGCCCCTGCTCCTTTGTCCGGTATAAATGATCCATCAGTGAATATCACACAGGCGCCTTTGTCTTTTTCCTCTTGCATCTGGCTCGGTATTCTCTCCTTGATTGTTTGCCGTTTTTCACCGATGTTTTCTATTGTCCACCGCGGTTCTATCCAAGGTGGTTCCGGGTAAGGATGGATCGTCTCTAGTATATTTGTACCTGGAAGCATCATTTCAGTTCTTCTTATAAGTCGATGTATGGGACTTTGGTGCTTAGCTGGTATATTTAGTATCTCATGTTGTATGATTTTTCTTGACGGGTGTGATGACGGTGCGGTGAGTCTCTTGTAGACATAATTGTGGTTGTACCTAAGTGCTAGATCTTTGAATGTTGTCACGTCTGTATCATGATACATAAAATCTGTTGGTGAGCTTTTGAACGCTCCCAGGATCAGTCGATTTGCTGCGTTCTGTAATAAATTGAAAATTTTTGAGACTTTACTCTCTGTTCGGGTGTTGAACCAGATTATGCATCCAAACAGGATCCTGGGTTTCAAAATGGCTGTAACCAGGTGTTTTGTTTCTTTTGAACTTAAGCCATGATAGCATCTACTGATTCGACTCAACTGAGCTAGCGTCGCCTTTCCTTTCTGGTTCATTTGGAGGATGTGAGGTTTGTATGTTAGTTTGGGGTCTAGCCAGAGTCCCAGCCATCGTAATTCTAATGTTTTTGGTTGTATAACCTGTGTTCCAAACAATAAAGATGGGTTAGCGTGTTTCTTGTGTGTGAAATGCATCAATTGAGCTTTTTTCTGATCAAAAATGGCTCCGTGTTTTCTTCCCCACTCTAGTGATCGGTTGCCTTCTTCCTCTAATTCAAGCATATTGATGTCGATATCTCAGTTTGCAACTAAATGTGTCACATCGTCTATAAAGCCTAACAAAATCTTGTTTTCCTGCAGATCAATTTCGGCATTTATCAGTAGTGATGAATTATATATGATATATAACATTACCGAAAGTGGCGATCCCTGGGGTAGTCCGTCTTCAATCTTGAACTCTCCGGATAAGTAGTCTTGTAGCCATAAGTTTGTTCTTCTATCTTCTAGGAATGACACTATTTGCATTGTCATGTAGTCTGGGCATCCATTTTTATTAAGAATGTGTGTCAGTCTTCTTCTATTGACTGAAGGGTAAGCTGACTTTACATCTAGAAATAGTCCTGAAACCACTTTGCCTTCTCTCCATTTTTGATGTATCCATGACGTTAAGATTACAAACGCATCGTCTGTCATCAAGCAGTCTATATGGCACACAAGTAGTTGAATGGGTGGTTCTTTGGAAAAAAGTCTGTGTGTTTGTCAATTTCATGCGGTGACTGCCCCCAAAGACAAAAATGAACATACTGAAGCTTATAGATGTGGTGATGTGGCAGTTATAGCATGTACAATGACATTGGGAATGGGATGCAATTGGACTTGTGCTTGTCAAGTCATCACCCTTGGAAGAATTGATCCATCAATACTTGGTCAGATGGTGGGTTGTTGTAGACAGGATTGTAGACCTGGAGTAGGAATTATGCTTGTTGAAAAAATCATATCTGATTAAAAAAAGCATGTATTTGCTTTTGTTGATCACTATAAGATGTCAGATGATGATTGTATGGATGCACCGGGCATCACACCAGTGTGTCTTTGAATTTCCTTTCAAGTGGATAATATGTAAGTGCATCTCAACAAGTGCTATCAATTGACTGAATTTTCTAAAAAACAAAATCTGTTGAACAGGATTGGTCATGTGCATCTTTTGATGATCTGTTTTATGTGAAAGAGAAGAAAACCCAAGAAGAAAAGGGGATGCAAGGATGCCTTTCTTCAAATTGTCATCCTGAACTTGTAGAATTATGCTTGGAAAAACAGCCCCATTTGACCATTGAAACATTCAACAGTTTGGTGAACTCAACATCCCTTGGAACTTCACTGGTCACTAATTAATGGAAATTTTCAACTTGGGACTGCAGCAAGTCAGTGTCTGGGACAATTCTTCCTTGCACCAAAAACAAGTTGATTCACAAAAATACACTCTTGTTGCTTCACTTGCCGGCAAACTCAAGGCATCTTTTCTTACATTATAAAAAAACATTCCCAGCAAACAAATGTTATGTTTGACCTCATCATATGTTTACTGAAACTCTTATGGGAAGATCATCAAG